ATTGTAAAAAAATGTTAATAAAAGTTATGCGTGGTATCATTATTCACGGGCGGATCTACGGGGGAAGCTTTGGGGCTGAAGCCCCCTCCTCCCACCCATGGTAAAATATAACCATATTATATGGAAAAAAATATTAAAAAATTATCTCTTAAAGTATTATTATTCGTGTAATTACATATTAAAAAATTATCTCTTACAGTATTATTATCCGTGTAATAACATTTAAAAGGACTTAAGGAATCACTTAATACCATTTCCCCCAACAATTAAATCCTGGATCAGCCAGTGGAATTATTTAAACATTTTTTTATAATTTAAGTTGTGTGGAATTATGGATACATACAGAAGAACAATATATGATCAGCTATAATAGCTTAAGACGTTTTGAATAATTGTTGGAACTGATTCAACTTGGAACATCATTTTTAAAAGATTGTCAATAATTTTATCCTTTGGATTTTACTAAATGAATTAAGGAGAGAGATCTTTCAATCTGAAAAGAAATTTTTTTTCTATGGTCCATAATTATTTCTATTCTTGAGTGATTTGAGCCAAATACTTTCCCAAAACAAAAGTTCCCATTTTGAAATATAAGATATATAATTCAGCTAATACAAAAAAATCAATATTTTATTCCTAAAATAAGCGTTACTCCCCTCTTCTAAATTTAATCCTGAATCCGTTACTGATGAGAAATGTATGCTTAAGTATTCATTAAACAAAATAAAGATATTCAGGAGAACATCATTAGAAGTAACTGCTATAATCAAGTTGAATAATTGCTCTAAATTCGTAGTTAAATTTTTAAACAAAAAGTAACAACTATAGATTTATACAAATGCGTAGAAACAGATTAATTAATTGTATATTAAATATAATAATTCTACATATTAAATTTACCAAAATGATACATAAGATAACTTACAGCGGGAATTTATTAATTATAAAACATATTCAATGTCATGAAGGTAATATTCTAAAGAGTTTCCCTAACAAATGATCCCAGATAGCTAACGGGCGACAAGACATGAGCCTGAGTTTCTTCAGCGACACTAAGGACGTTCATGCGCCAAGTTCACCGACCTGGAAGGCCATCAGGAATCTCCAAGATGTTAAAACCAGCTGAGGCCGTTAAATATTTATGTACGCGATTAAATACTTAGTCAGAACACTCCACGAAAGCGTAGCAAACTGTGACTAAACGAAGCAAGAGTAATCTATTAATAATTAATTATTTATTATATAATTAAAAATTAAGGGTTGTAAAATCGATCTAGTTCATGATAAATTATTACGTTTACAATACAAATTAATAATATCGCATTCGTCCAAGAAAATGGTTAGCTAAAAGATTCAAATATAAATTATTTATTTTAATATTCATCATATGAACAATAAAATTAAATTTAAAAGTTTTCATATTCAAATAAAAATAAATATATCTGTTGTAATGATTTTTTTTTTTTAGAGTGAATTAGATTGATCCGTCAGATTTCGTTCGGCATTAACGCTCGGGTCAAGTCGATTGATTGAAAGGGTTTTGAATATGGATTGAAATATCTCAAAAACTAAAAATCGTACCTTCATACTGTAAGCCAGGGAGTTGTTCAGAATTTCGTCCTCTCTGTAATGGGCTGCTATTCAAAATTGTATATCGACGGCGTGTTAGAAAGGCAAAAAAGGAAAAAATAGTATCGAAAACCAAATGATAACAAGTTTTATGGAAGATGTGGATTAAAATATCTCAGAAACTAAAAATCGGACCTGCATACTGTAAGCGAGGGAAATGTTCAGCAGTTCATCCTCTTTGTAATGAGCTATTATTTATAATTTATATTTCATATTATTAATCTCATATTATTAAAACGCACATTGTAATTTTTATTTTTTTATTGCTCAAACTGTTTTTCAATTTTATTTTGAGATACTTTTGCGCACTTAATATTTATTATTCATAATGAGGCTTGTGGACATTTAATGCAATTTTTGTATTCTTAATCGATAAACTGCGTTAAAATAGTTTAAAATGTTCTTAGAGATTTTTCTGTTTATCTGACCGTATTGATTGAATTGATAAGTATGCTGTGTACGAAGCAACCTTATGTAGTAAGGCAGCATTACTTTTAATAAAGTATTTCTCTCTCTTATATTTTATGCAATTTGCACGTGCGCGGCTGAGCATGTATCAAATTTGTTGTGTTTGTAATGTCTTGGTGTAATTGGTTGATTTAGTTTTTATCGATATAGTAGGTCTCTTGGCCATTTTCTTCTGCGTTGTTCAGGTAACAGGGAGCAGGAGATAGAACGAACCAGAGGATTGGAGTGATTTTGGGTTGAAGAATGAAATGTAGTGTATTTGTCGTGGATGTAGGATTTTACTGTTGGGGTGTTTAAGTCGTTATGTATAGTAGTATTTGAAATGTACCACGGTGCGTTAAAAATTTAGTAAAATTTTTGATTGGGCTGTATTTTGTTTGTTTGTATGTGTGTTTGTTTTGCTGAACCCTAAAGTTCTACTCCATATGTCCATATTGATCTCAGTAAGGTGTTGTAGATCAGTCGCTTGTTTCGTAAGTTAAGTGAAGATTTGTAGTCCAGAAGATGCGAAAGTTGGCTATTTCGTCTAGTAAGTTGTTGTCTTTTTAATTTCGTATGTATGTTCCTAGTAAGTCTTTTGTCTAATTAGAGTCCGAGGTACAGTACATAGCTCTTTGAAGGCATTGGAATATTGGCAATCGTTATTTTTAATGCAATAAATTAAGAATATATTCATAGTGGTGAAAAAATAAAAATAAAATAACGATATTGCTAGGATGCAAAAGAAAATATAAGTTTTCAATAGTCATTATTATTTTCGATACCGGTACCAATAATACCTATGAATAGTTCCACCGTAAGCCTCCCTAAATCCCAAAAATTAAAATGAAATCTTTACTATATAATTTTTTATTTTAAATATATATATATATATTATATTATATATAATTAAAATAAAGGTAACTTAAATTGAAGATTTCTTAGAAGCACACCGTATCGAGAGTAAATTTATGTTAATGGTTGTTTGGCCTGAAGGAACAATAACGGCGGTAACCGGTTAAGGATCACAGGTTACTCAGAGGCAGCTAAATATAGGAGGCGGCAAGGCCACGGAGACTCCAATGGTCGGTCAGGTCACAAGCCGTTCCTCCACTTCTTCTTCTACTCTTTCAATCATATCACTCTCTTATTTTATAACTTTAGTCTAAAATTAGTATTGATATATTGATAGAGAGTTCATTTAAGTATACTAAATTGATAAAAAAAAACATAGTAAAAACTGCCTACCATTGTTCTCTAGAAACTAACGATCAGAAACAAATCTTGAAATATAAATTTAAATAATGACCAGAAGAATAGTTGGGGTGATCAGTCACATAAGAAGGCAAAAATAAATGATAATATTTATTTTGATAGTTGCCGACGTTTAGACCTGAAGTTGTGGCCTTCATCAGGGCTAAGAAAAGAACCATAATCAGGTATCAGGTATCAGAAACATAATTAGTGTAGGTAAAAAAATTGAAGTAAAATGATGTTAGAAAAATGACAATAGTAAAAACTAAGAGATAATAACCGTTACAAAGTGTGGAATGATGAAGTAAACATAATCAAAAATGGTGACATAAGTATTAGAATGGGAATCTTAGAATAAAATGAAAAACCGAAAATTGACTTTACAATATCTCAATTTTCTATCTAACTATTATATTCGCAAAATCTTATATAACTTCATATTCTTTTTTTTCTGTTTTTCATTTTATTCTTATGACCCAGTGCCTAACTCACTTTACTATTTCGGACACTGTTCCTTAAAGCCCAAATAAGTACCATTTTCGAGATAAGCCGTATTTCATTCTATGAATTACTTCAAATGTCACAGAATAGTATCACATACTCATCAAGTTTTGTTTACGATTTAAACAATTAAAATTATTAATTAAGTAGCTATTCATCTAGGTGTATTTATTATTCCCGAGCCAATGGGGTGTGGGCGTGGATTTAAAATACTTCCTCGGCACCGGGACGCGAACTCTTAACTAATTTTTATATCATTTGAGTCATATATCAGGTTGCCGGGCAACGGTGGTGCTGTGCACAAGCGTTAGCTCATTCGGCCACCTCGCCTACATCTTTTGTAGCCCCGATGAAGACCTACAAAGTGGATCACAACGTCGGCGTAAACAATAAAATACTGTTTTGATATATAGTATTTATTTGACCGCAACCCCCGACCAACTCCTTCTCATAAATAATAGTGATTAATTTCTGGTCGAAAAAATGTATGGTTATATCTACGTTATTTTGTAAGGTTTCTAAATTCTATAAAAAAACAAAACAAAAAAAAAAAAACATCAAATTCGGACCAATTTATAAAAAAAAAATGGTAATCTCTCCACATATTTTAGTTTATTGTATTGATTGAAAATTAATTCCTCCATCTTATATTGCATTTATATCCATATTATATTATCGTGAGTCACTAGCGGATTCAGGATTTAATTTTTTTTTTGGGGGGAGGGCTTCAGCCCGAAAGATTTTTTTTCATATACATATAACGATAATTAATTTGAAAAAAAAGAAAGAAATTAACTACTTATATGAAATGGTGTTTAAGTGGTTCTTTAAGTCCTATTAAATGTAAATAAACAAACAATAATACTTTAAGAGATAATTTTAAATATTTTTTTCTGTAAAACATGATTCTATTTTACCATTTTGGGGAGGGGCTTCAGCCCGAAAGTCCCCCCCCCCGTAGATCCGCCCGTGTCGTGAGTCCATTGACCAATATATTCTGCGAATTATTGGCACGAGCCAACTAGTTATAATAATAATTTTAATTAAAAGTATTTCGCAATAAAGACCGAGTTGTTAATTAATATGAATAAAGCATTAAGCGCGATTTGCTAAAGGATTTGAAAGTTGAAAATTCTTTTCAGAGGAAGTTGGTACTTTCTTCATGTTTGTTATAAAAACTGGTCGCCGGTTAGAGAAAGTCGCGAAGGGAGGCGCCGGGCCTTCGCCAGTGCCTGCTTGATCTGAGATATTGCGCGCACGTAGCAATCCGCCATGCGCAAGTTATCGTCAAGAAATCTTGTCTTGATAGTTGCAGCAAATTGTAGCCTGCGAGTTATCATACGTGAGGTTCCTTGGTGGGTGTGTTGTCTGTCATTAGAACGGAACTGATAACGTTATTATTTGTAACCGATTACCATGTACTAGGTTGTGTTTGCGAGCCTAATTATAGTAGTGTACAAAAAACGAAAGCTTATAGTTATATACTACAGATACATAATGTAATTGAACTCTTCTGTAATATACAGGGTATTTCAGAGTCGAGTGGCTAAACTGAAAATATGAACTAAGGACCTCAAAACAAAAAAAAACATTTCTCCTGAAGGTATGTATCTGCAAACGCTAGGATATATTCACACCTAAACATTTTCATTGTTATGAATTATTTACGTTATATTAAGTAAATAAAACCTATTTATTTGTTCCAACTACTTTATTAATTAAACATAAATATTAAATGTTCTTTCAAGTGATTTCCTTGAGCATTAATACAGGCTCGGCATCTTTCTTTAACAACAGCAGTTGGCATTGAATATGTGTTATTGTTTTACAAGATTCAATTATCCTGCTTTGTAAGGATTTTTTTTATTTATTTATTTAGACATATAATATTCTGTCACAGGGACAATAATTATATTGATAAATCAACACATTCACACCGTATATACAAAAAAGAAAGAAAATTAACAAAAGTAAAATAATAACTAAATAATAATAAATAAAAACTATATACAATAAAATAATAAAATAACCTAAATATAAGTAAATTAAAAACATAAACATACAGTCATACCTATATAAAATATATACAATCAGGCGGGGAACCCAAATCCCTGCGCTACTCTCTCAACCGCCTCACTGGTGCTAAAGCCGGTAAAGTTTGAGCGAGAGGGCTAAGGAATTAAGGTTATTGATCGGACTAATTAATGAAGTAGTTAGAAGAAATAAATAAGTTTTATTTATTTCATATAACGTAAATCTTTAGGTGTGAATATCACCTACACAAAGCGTTTGTGGACATACCTTCAGAGGAAATTATTTTCTTGTTTTGAGGTCCTTAGTTTGAACACCCTGTAGATAACAGTTACAAGAGACTGAAGAAATATTTAGAAATATCACAAGAAAAGTATATTAAATTATTTTCAATATTAGGTGCACTATCTTCCCCTTAAGTAAAGGCCTCTACGATATGTTTCGACGATACGAAATTCCTGTCGGCTGTGATAAGCGATATAGTTGTATTACTATATGGCATAAGCCCCAGCGATACTGACAAACAGTATCGTATCGTCGAGACACATCGCTTTTCAAAAGGTCGTATGTAAAAATATTTTTTTAACATAAGACCCTAAAAATTATTTCTGATTTATAAGTACAATTTCATATTTTATTTCCCATAGTAGTAGACTACAAAACGTCACGCTAAGCAAAACTATAATAAACATGGAAAATTGTTACATAAGACCTTCTGCACTGACTGCGCTAAACAAGATTCTTATGAACACAGGACAAAAAATAAATTGCAAAACTAAGGTCATAAAGAACGCAAGTTCCTAAACACAGCGCTTAATTCCATCGATGGAATTCAATAACGATTTATGCTGCTATTTAAGAATGACAACAGCGAAACGATCGGAGGATAACACACGTTAAAATATTTATATGTATCATATATATTCATCATATCATACATATACAAACTCTTCCATTTTTAGGCGACGATTTTATCTCATTTCCCGCCGCAAATTTGAAGCATCGGAGAATCGAGAGTTCATCTGACTTCATCGTAAAAATCATTAAATAAAAATATGTAGTATATTCAATAGCTTTGTTAATGCATTTTCAAATGTATCCATACACAAAAAAAAAAAACATAGTATTACATTGTTCGTTTTACAATGATTATGACAATTATCACTCATAAATTGTACATTCTGATATTTACTCCTGAGATTTTTTTTTTTTGAGAGGGGAAAAGAGCAGCCCACTCTCTGACCAAAAAAAAATCTATATATATTGGATGTCAATATGGAAACTACTTTTTTGTTATGTGAACCATTTCATGTGATAGCACAGATTAGGGATAACAACACATCTACTCCTGTATTGAAATTGACACAGTAAGATAATTATAACCAGAAAATACTAAAGTTCTAGAGATTAGTAGCTATTAGAAGCCCCGACAACTTTTTATCTTTAATGGACTGGAATGATATAAAATAGTAAAATTATCTAATGGGATGAGAATTTATTGAAGCTAAGAGGAGATAATAGCTATTGTAGAAAAGTAGGTAATAAATTTTAGATTGTTAACCTCAATATGGCTTTGGATGTCGATATAGCTTTGGATATCAATGTCATTATATCTTAAATGAATCCATTACATTATATAATACAGTAAGATATTCTTTACCTTGCTTACAGTACGGATGGATTTTGACAAACGAGGTATGAAAAGAATCTTGATCTGTAATAAAACTAAATAAAAAAAAATTAAGTTTTTAATTTTGACAACTCCAACGATCAAGAATTGTTTTTAAAAGATTACGATGCAAAAATCAAGTTCTTTGGAACTTACAGGGCAGGGCCTCCGATTTAAAGCCCTTAAATTTCGCATTTTCGAGAATAATGGTAACTTTTGTCTAAAACCTCTTAGATAATTTGGTTGTCATAAGATACTGATCACATTTTTTAAAATATTGATATTTATTAAATTTTTTGATAATGTAAAAATCTATTAAAAAGTTAAACGAAGGAGAACAGTTTATTTAGGTCATTTCTGATAATACAGAAAGAAAAGTTTTGATATTTTAATAAATAACAAAACATCCAGGCATGTCTTCTACAGTGGCTAAAAGTCAAAATGATAACACCTGGATATTGAATAAATAAATATTTCAATTTATAATACATTGAAAACAATAATTAATAGTAATCAATAAACGCCATAGTAAAGTATTATTGTCATATATTCTTTTTCTTGTTGTGTAGGTGTATGGCGACTTCTGGTGTAGGGAATCTTCACTTTATAGTGGAAATATTCACATGATACAGTGAATTTAACATGTTTACATAGACATTTCTAGGAAAAACATGGAAGAAATTGCTTTAAATCTGGGAATGAAATACAAATTTAGTTATCAGGATAATGACCCCAAATACACCCAATCTGAGATCTTAATATGATAGGCAAAATAGGAAAACACGAAATTTCTATCAAAGAAGACTTAAATATCTTTTAGACTAAGTCCAGAATTCACCAAAAAATGGTCGATTCCATTACAAACAGACTGAAAGAAGTGCTAGAAAATAATGGCTTGCCTACAAGGTATTGTACTAAATTAATCTATTTTAAAAGTTAATAAGATGTGAGGTGTATCATTTTGAGTATGAGGTAAAATTATGCAGTTTTATTTATTTTTTTGGAACCTCCATATTAGACTGGAACGACTAGAAACCGTCCGACGTTTTAGACTACTCCAGCACTTACTAGACAAACGCTCTAAACTTACAACTATTTACAAAAGACTCATATATATTAATATAATAAGGCCTATTTGGACTTATGGGATCGTGCTTTGGGGCTCTACTAAATCATCAAATTCCTCTCGTATCCGATCCCTACACCCAAAAATCCTTCGTAAAATCCTTAATGCTCATTACTTTGTCACAAATAAAATCATCCAGAAGGTCCTTAATGTACCATATGTTTCCGATTTAGCTCAATCCAGATACCTATACTTCCATAATAAACTTCTGAATCATCCGAACCCTCTTGTTTCCAAACTTGCAATATAGAGATATAATTGGAGTGCTACCAATGGGTATAGTTTCTCTTCATGTTGTACATGTCGTGTTACTTGTTTCATATTAACTTGTTGTATTTATCATTTAATACAATTGTAAATTTCAATAACAAAAAATAAAAAATAAATAAAGACAATTGAATCTTTTAATTTTATTGAGTTTGTAAATATTTAAATTTAGATCATAAATAAATATTTTGAAGAGCTCCTGGTTTTAAGTCTTTTTTATATATATATTTTTTTATAGGTATACCAATTTCACCGTGAGCCACAGGCGGATCTACGCGGGGGCTTTCGGGCTGAAGCCGCCAAAAATGGTTATTTTTTTATTTAATGAAATTTACAACTGTACAAACAATAGAACTAGTAAAAATGCTCACATTAGAAATCATGACATAAACAGACTTGAAGAGATACTGCCCAGTGGTAGCACTCCCCCAAAAATGGTAAACAAATATATATAAATTATATCTTGAAGTATTATTGTTCATGTAATTACATTTAATAGGACTTCGAGAATTACTTAAACACTATTTCATATAGGTAGTTTTTTTTTTTTCAAAGTAATTATTATTATATATATAAAAAAAAATTCGGGCTAAAGCTCCCCAAAATTAAATTCTAGATCTGCTAGTGCCATGAGCAACTGTATACTCTCAGTAAAAGACATCTATACTCTTAAGGAAGTGAGAGAACTAATAATCAATCCTCTTCAGAACAAAAAAATTAGGTCTTGAGAGATTCCTACAAGAATGGATTAGTGAAGGTTGAGGGATAGCTATGTTTTATTTCCTGGAAGACAAGCTAACTTATCAAGTAAATTTCTACTTTAACAACCTGGGTATAATATGAAGCTACACCAACTAAATTGAATAAAGTTTCTTGATAATAATATTTTATTTTTACGAATAAATTAATAGGAGGAAATATCAATATCTGTGTTCTTGAAAAAGGCAAACTATTAACTATTAATAACAAAGCTCATTTATTTACTTTAAAAAAAATTAAACGTTTCGATTATTAATAGGAATATTAAATATAAGAAATTATATTATCGTTGGTAATATAAGTGATAAGTTAAAATGATTCAGTTTTTACAACTCCGGATATGTGTCAAGTCCATCAGACCATAACATATCTTTTTAAGACATCTTCGAGTTAGTCCTTCCAAAGATCGTCCTGGAGACCCGAACGGTGGTCCAGAAGAGAAGAAGGCCATCGACAATAGCGCACCGCATTCCTGCTCAGGTGGATCTTCGGCGGCCATCTTATACACCCCTCTCCTTCCCTATTTATCCTCCATGGTACCGTTACTCCTTAATCTATCTTTAAGACCGACAACAACGCCCCTCGAGGACTCCCGCCATTTCTTAATGTTTCCTATGCTAAACATGTTGTCATTAAGAACATTCTTCAAAATAAAATGATAATCCTCATGAATTTCCTTGTTATTTTTAATTATAAATAATATCAGATTAATGTGAATATCGTGGAGTCCCGAACAGATGATAAGGGATCAAAGACATACTAGGTGTCATGTCGAAGACGCTCGTCGCTGAAGAGCCCGCATCTTTTTCGACACAAGAGAAAAAGGATCCTGGGAGGTTGCAAGCTCCTGACAGGTTATAAAGAGTGATATTATATAAACTTGTCCTTAGTAAAACATATTATTATCAGTTCCCTCTTTATTTTAACTTTTTTTTCTCTCGAAATAAACAAGATAACTTTAACAAGGGAATCAGTGAAAATTCCCGAGTGCTAATAATAATTTTTTACTTCAGAAATACTTATCAAAATCATAAGTACTTATAATTATAAGTGATAAAAAAATATTATTATGAGACAGTTCACGATTTTGTTTTGTTAATTTTTTGCAAAAATGAACACGATAACTTGAACAAAATTTTTTGTTAAAATTCCTGGGTGTTAATAATTATAAATTATATTGAAAACATATTTTTATTTTTGGAGTAAGGTATACTCGTGGTATTATGAATATATCATATTTTAGATAAATAGTGAAGAATCATTCAGATAGGTTTTATTAATGTTGTATATAGCATGTCATAGAAAAATGACCAACAAACTCGACAACCAGCTTTAAATCTGTTTTCAGAAAATATATGAACGAAAATTAAATATTATAAAACTGATTTTAACGCGTTGATTTAGTTATCTCAACAAATGTCTTATATATCCTGTTATACGCTCATGGAGGCACTCAGCTGACAGATAACAGAGACCACGGATGCTGTAAGAGGACCAATAGGTCGATGGAGTGTAATATAGCTGGAGGTCTACTGACCTGACGGTATGGAGTACAGCGCAAGAAGTGGAAGATCAGGATGCAGTAGTGATCCTGGCCGAAGATGTTGATGATGATGAAGGTTCGGCAAACGGACACAGAGACACAGACCACACGGACACGGGTCGACTACTGAGGCAAACCTCTCGAGGAGTTGAGGAGGGGGTATCCCCCACCTGTGCTCGTCTCCATTAGCACCTAGGCAATACTCCGATAATCTCTCTCTTCTCTCTCTCTCTCTCTCTCTCTCTCTCTCTCTCTCTCTCTCTCTCACACACAGATTTTTTTGACCCCGGCCCCACTGCTTGTGATGTAAAAAAAAAATCGAATATCAAAAACATTGAAAATAAAAAAAATCGATTTGACTGATATATATTAAAAGCATTATTTTTTTTTAATATATTTTATATTTTTTATTTTATTTATATATTTATATTATTAAGTAAAAATTCACAAACATTTATTTTAAGATTAGCTGATGTACCCATCGTTGAAGGGTGTATAGTTAAAATTTGAGCATCTTATTTTTAAAATGGATTTTATGCAATTATGGGTTGCAAATTCAATTTCATAAAATTGAGTCGGGAGGAGGGAAATGGGTTGTTTTGAAATTTTTATGGCTGGGCTTATCGAAGTCAAGATTTCGCAATAGTCATAACAAGAACTTTGTCATTCGGCTATTTCTTTAGGTGGTACCATACAACTAAACCTATCACCACCGATCCATTAAAATTTGTTAAGTGTTTAATTTTCATTTATGAATAAGCGAGGAGATTGTGGAATCGATTAATTAATCAAAAAGAGTTGTAGTCCGGACATCCAGACAGACAAAACATTTTTTAAAACTGATTCTATTCAATGTATAGACAAAACCTTTATTTTAATTATATAGATGTTCTATAACCTACATATAAACATATGTTTATTATTAAGATTTATTTTTAACATTAACCGAGATCTTTAGGCAAATTAGTCAAGAATTCATAACTTTGGTTCTACTCAATATTTTGTTTTCATTTAAAGTCTTTGTTTTAAGTCAAGCAAACCTTAATATAATGTCAAAATTTCAAAAGTCTACAATTAGCCATTGCTGAACTTACCACTGACAAAATTTAGTTGCAATCCGGACATACAGACAGACAAAGAAATTTTTAAAAGTGGATTTGGTGTCTGCAATGTATGAACCGGAAAGATCGGAAAGATATCATAAAACGGGTTGATTCTATTCAATGCACAGACAAAATCTTTATTTTGTTTATATACATATTCACCTGTCAACAGTTAACAACCGAAATGACAATCCAATATATATATATATATATATATATATATACAACCAGACACACTACAAAAGAGTTCACGAAGATCCTCATATTTTATTTAGAATAAAGAATCTGGCTGTTAATTAAATCTCCAGACTACTTTCCCAAACTGAACATCCTACACACAGATATATTTTCAAACCAAAATTTTTCATGGCTTTTCAAAATAAAACAAACTCTACCCTTCATCTATCAGAAAGATTTAATTTAGCTATAACATTTCTGAAAGAAATACCCTTGATCAACCCAGAAATCCATGACCTTCAAACAAACCGCCAAAAACAATCCTAAACCCAACCAAATTATCTAAAAATCAAACTTCACTTACTGAATACAAAACAAAAATTTTACATTTCGTTCAAAAATTACAGAAACTTATTTTAATCTTTACTGATGGGTCAAATCTGACGAATCTACAGATTCTTCTTTTGTACTCATAATTCCACAATAAACAATTGATTTTTTTAGAATTTAACAATTTGTTAATCAAAATTAAAAAGTTGAAATCTAATTATAGTTCAGCAAAAAACAAAAGCGTTGACGACCTTGATGTTTTACGCCTAAATAAACTCAAAAAACAACAACAAAGTTCACGATAAATTACACAGACATATTAACACACCCAAACATGAGCAATACAAGAAGAACGCTCAGGAGGCTTGAATGATGACCAAGGATCAAATTTGGTTCGGCGTCTGTCTGTCTGTAGTCAAGTAGATGTAATGGACATATCACCTACTACTGTTTACCCAAATTACATAGAATTTTCTTGGAATGAGCGAATTGGTGTCTATATGGTCCCATATTAATTTCATTGAATTCCAACTAACACTTCCGCTTACGCACACGCAAACATATTTCCTTAGCTATGCCAATATTTCAGAAACTTCAAACTTTCGATTTGACTCTGAAGTTGGAAGAAAGATAGGTCTTGGTAAAAAAAAATTGTATCCGTTTGATTGCATTTCGTCAACTGCAACTCATAAATATGTCCAAACATATTTTTCTGTCTATTTTTTAAAACTGCACGTTCGATTTGGCTCAAAGCTAGAGGAAATTAGGGATTGATAAACAAATTATCAATTAGATATTCATTTCAGAAAATTCCATAACCCACTTTTAGAAAATACTTACGCTTTCGAATCTGAAAAAGTCTTGTTTTTAACATGCCTATATTTTGAAAACGGTTCGTTCGATTAAACCCGAAATTGAAGGGAATGCAGAGAATCGAGTAGAATTCAAGAATTAATATAAATAACTTTTAAAAATATAATGGCTGTGAAATGTGGAAGGCATTCATCATGTTTAAGGGAGGTTATGTTTATAGTATTGTTTTATGAGGCTATACAATTTTTGACTTTATTCGAAAATGCTTATTTAAACTAGATATTTTGTCGTTTACGTACGAAATATGACAGCTACTGTCGTTACAAAAAAATTCATGTAATTTTTAGTGATTGTTGGGGTTGAAACTTAGATGGCCCAAAATAGATTTTGCCGAATCCCTTCAATAGCTTTCGCTAAGGCATGCGATTTTCCTTTGCTGTATATAACGTATATTTGTAAATTAAAATTAATGTTTGCACACCCTGTAAAAAATAACGTTATATTTGTGAGTTTATTTGTTATTTTTGAAGTTCAACCAACTGGTTCTGGTCTCGATTTTCCTCTCAAACCTCTAAGTGGTAAGGGGCTTTATTCCAAGTCTTTTTGAACTAGTTATAATTGAAGGGTAGGATGTAAGCATCGATAAGTTTTAAATATGTATAGTCTTTCATTCCCTTTCTTTTGTTAAGTTCATTCATATTCTTAATTTTTTTCTTTTTGGTCACTCCAACCCTGATGCTCATAACTTTTCTTCCAAAATAATTCCTGACAAACCCCCGAGGTGTCTGAAAACAAGATGTCCAAGAAACTTCCTTAATTAATCTATTCTTTATAGTGCTTCCTATGGGTAGTTTCTTAACAGTTTTTTTTATCATGTTTTACATTATTTTAACTGATTTACTTGTATATATGTATACAGTTGTAAATATCAACAAAAAAAATCTTTTATAAATCGAAACATATATATATATATATATATATATTTTAGGATCTTTTGTCCTCCAGGAAAGAAGAGACAGCTCTCTACGGATTAAGAATTGGACATGATGAGCTCTCACAGGTCTACCTACTAAGAAGACTTGACCCATCCATCACCTTCTACAAGACTGCCATACACTGAAAAATATCAGGGAAAATTTGGATATGGGACCAAAAAAAAAAAAAAAGACAACGAAAAAGCTGTTCAAAAAAACATAAGCATTCCTAAAACCGGCGAAACTGTATCATAGAACATAACTTGAAGGTGTAGATAATGATCCTATAGTGTAAAAGCAACAAAAATACTAAATAAATAAATTTATTTTTACTAAAGCTTCCTATTTATCTATTTATATATTATTATATTTTTAAAAAATAAATACGAAATTGCTAGAGCAAAAGATCAGTAAGAATTTATATATATTAAATATTATCCTATATATTATTCTGAGATCTCCTATTGTCGTAACTATATGAGATCAATATAAATAAACGTACACAAACATCAATAAATACATACTTATACATCAAGTATTTGTAACTTAAGATGTGTTA